TTAAAATGTATATACCATTTAACAAGTGATGAGCTTATGGGGAAAATTGCCTATTATCTTTTCCTTTTGTTTTGGTAGACAACAGTTCGTAATCTACAGGTGAGATGTGCTGCATATTCCTATTCAATAAGGCTGGGATTGCTCACCACATGTTTCCATCACTAAACTATTATTTTCATGTTTAAAAATTATATTCAAATAATTCAGCTCAACATTTCTTTCGTCTTTTTCTTTTTATATTTTTAATAGTGGTTGGTCAATTCCTAATGTCTATCCACTTGCTTGTTGGGAATTTCATTAGTTAAAATGATTCTACATTTTAATTACCTCTGATCTCCAAATTCATATATTTAAGAATTGCCATGTTTTTCTTGATCTGATACTATTTATTTAGAATTGAGATTTTTTTCATTAGATTTTTAAACTATTTCCTCACAGCTCTTTTTTTGTCCTTTTCTTTTCTTATTTGAAAGCAGACCGACTCCATTCATTATCAAAAAGACCACGACATGTATTAATTAGTCCATTTTCAGTAATAAAATATGGAGAAATATAATTGACCAAACCAGCACCAATAAACAATTTTATTATAGTTTCTTGGTAAATGATTCGATGAGATTAGCGCTGGCAATTTTGACCCAGACTCATTTGAGACATCTAATCCATCTACGTATCCACTCATTTCAGAAGCTGGTCATATGGGTGAAGTGATCCATTAGGATTAAGGGAAAGAGGGTCAGGGTGGGTTAGGTGACTTGGGTTAAAGGTAACCCACTGAATTGTAAAGAGTCAAGGTGGATTGAGTTGAGGACAGTATCAAGCACCAGCATAAATTTCCGGCATTCGACAATAACAACTTGGTGATTTTGGCGGAATCTCCTTGAAATGTTGTTAGAGGGAATCACTTGCATGTGATCTACAGATCATTCATGGGAGAAGAATATATTTGCCGGGGGAGTTATTAGAAGTTTAGCTCTCACAGTCTCACCCTTTCTATAAATGTTAGGGTAATTTACAAACAACTCCTGGGTCAGTGATAAATACTCTCTGAACTTTCATTTGTGACAAAAATCACTTGAATTTTCACTTTGTGAAAATACCCTCCCGTTAGAGATTTCTGTTAATTAATTTCAAAAAAAAAAATTCTCATTTAGCTGTTTAAAACTTTTTAGATCTCCAAACTACCCATTTTTTTATTTATTTGAATGATTTATGATTCGACTAATTTTCTAAATATAAATTTATGGTTGTAGATTTTTGGTTGGATTCAAAATTTAAGTGAAATGGTAGAGGTTTCTTTCTAAAGGATCTAAATTTATGATTTTGTTTGGTTTTCCTTGATTTATTGGAGAAAGAAGTTGATAGTTTTTATATTTTAAAATGAAAGGCATTCATGAGTGAAATGAAAAAAAAAAAAAAAAAAACCCATTTTTTCTGTGAATGAAATGATTCTTGTTATTTTAGCTGGTTTTGTTAGGACAAAATGGAGGTATTTTTGGCCAATTAGGGCTAAGACAAAAGGGTGAGAAATTTTGGTAATTTAATACATTCCATCACATAATTTAATGACCAGGGTATTTTGTCGCAAATGAAAGTTCAAGGGGGGCATTTGTCGCTGACACTATAGTATAATGGGTTCTTTATAATTTATCCTGTAAATCAACTTAATCATGTACAAGTATGATTCATTCAAGTGTTGTTACTTGAATATAAACTAATTAAGCTACACTAATTCAATTGACTAACTAATTAAGCTACACTAATTCAATTGACTTGTTTAATCTATGGGGGCTGTGTGATACATGAGCTTTGTGAAACAAAATCCAAATTGAACTACCCTTGTGATGTTTTCAATTTGGAAAGAAAAAAAGAAACTGATTCCAACCCAAGCATTATTGGGATTTGTATTGTTAGATAAACTTGTATTAATTAAATTAAGTTGTGTTATATTTATTAAGTTATTTTGATTTTGTTAGTTAATTTAATTGATTAAATTAGATTTATCATGTTAGGTCAATTAAGTTAAATTTAATAGATTAACTATTTCACCTAATCGAATTATGTTAAACTAATTACTTCATTGAATTATGTTAAGTAGATTAGGCGCAGTTAATATAATAACTAGTTTTAGATACATAATATTTATTTAAAAATAATTACATAGTTTTCCTTACTTATTTTATAATTTTATGATTTTTCTTAGTTAAAACAAAAAGAAAAAGATGAAATATTGTAGGCCAGCCTGGGCAGGCCAGGGCTTGATTTTGGGCCAATGTCTTTTATATAAAATATTTCATATATGTAATAAATTATATTAAATGGTTTATAATATGCATATAATTTTGTTTTATGCATTATACAATATTATGTAATTCGTGTTATAAGTGTCATCTTGTAATATTTAAATACAAAATATATAACATAAAATAAAATAACATTTATACATATATACACATTATATATAAAATACATATATTTAAACATATGCAGCCCACAACAGGCCTAGGTGGGGCTAGGTTGAAATGATCACCCCTATAGCACTCGAATTCAGATTGAGGCCTATCAAATCCGATTGAATCGGTGCACAATGAACAATGTCAGATCGGATTCAGATATGCCCTTTATTTGAATCTGATCCAATCCATTTGCATCCCTGAGAAGGAGTCTTATTTCATTCCTAATTGGGTAAACTCAAAATAAATCCATCGTAGGAATTATTTTTGTGTATGTATTATTTGATAAAGTTGTATTAATTTTCATTAATGTTTTATTTTTAATTATTAAGGTTGATTGTATTGTATAAAATCTATTTTATACCATACATAATATAAAATATTATATATATATTTTAGGTGTCATATTATAATATTTATATATGAAATATAAAATATAATATAAAATAATATATCATATACATTATCTATTTGGGGGATTAGGGTTGGACTCAGGATGGGCTGGACAAATACCACCCCACCTTGTTCCTAGTCAACGAAGTTTGAGTTTCCTTGTAACCTGATCTAAACCGGATCAATGGTTAAAAAAATCACATCGATTGGGGAGGATACAAGTAAAGGTGGATTAGATTGCCATCTTTTCTTCGGTTTTCAAATACATTATAGAAACATACAATAAAAAGATGAAAGTCTAGTTGCTATCAAGTTGAACCCTTATAGGGTTCGATTTGGCTTGGAAACTATATGTCACTAAGTCGGGTTCAAGTAGAAGTATTGGAGGGTCAGCTTAGGGTGAAGTCAAACCATACTGAACCCAACTTATGTTTATTTTTCATTATTTTAAAGTTGAACTTAAATTAATGTTTACTTTTATTAAATTTAATTATTTAGTAAATTGTTAATGATGTGCAATTTAAGTTATGATATTATGGTAAGTTTATTATTGTTTATAATTTTTAATAATGAAAGAATTTGTTATTATAAATTTAGTATAACATTATTGTAATTAATTTAAAAACAATAACTTATTTTGAAATTTCCACTATGTTAATCATTTTTAAATGAAAATTAAGTGAATAATTTTATGAACTACTAACATCATTAGTTAGGGGTGCAACTTGGCCGGGCCCAACCCGAGCCCGAATTGGCCTAACTTGGAATTTTACACAGGCTAGCCTTGGATTTTCAGTCCTCGGGCTGGGCTTGGGCCTAACCTTTAGGTAGACCAAACCCGGCCTGAGCCTGGCCAATTATATATATTTATACATATATATGTGTATATATGTAAATGTTGTATACATATTTACGTATATACACATACATATTTGTATATATAGCATTTGTATACATATTTATATACATACATACATATGCATAAATACATTTGTATATGTACAATTTTAGAATGGTTTCATTGACCAACCCGAGCCCAACCCAAATGCATCAAATTGCAGGGTGGGCTGGGTTCGGGTTGGAAAAATCAGGCTCGACTTTGAGCTCGGGTCTTAAGCCCAAATTTTAGGGCCAGGCCTAGGTTGACCATAAACCCGGCCCAACCCGCCAAACTTACAGATGGGGCCCATGTTATACTCGTAAAAAGTTCATATTGTCTCTCTCTAATTGACCCAAGTAAATGAATAGAAAGTAATTAAGAGAGTATTTTGGGAGAAAGCGTGGGTCCATTAGAGAGAGATGTTTTAGGAAGATTTAAGAGAGAGAAAAGAGAGATTTTAGGAAGATATTTAGGTATTTGAGAAGTAGGGGCTAGTAGGAGTAAGGAGAGACTTGCTGATGTGCCTTAACGAGATGGATGGGGAAGGATAATGAAGGAAGAGAGAGAGAGAGAGTTGAGAAATATGAAAGGGGAAGGGAGAAAGTGGAAAGAATTCTGATGTGGACTATTTTGTTGTATCTAAAAATAACTTTTATATTGTATTTCACGAACAAAATCAATTGCAAATTACTTGTATGAAACTTGAACCTATAACAATTTATTTTATTTTCAAGTATCTTATGACAATTTAGTAAAAACACAATATCCAAATTTAATGGTTATATCAGATGGGATAGGGTAGATCCATATTTGATCCAATTATAAATGAAATCTAATTAGAGTTTGATGGAATATAATTGACAATCGAATACCTTTCAAGGTTGCAGCCCTAATCCGCCATTACTTCTCTGAAAATCATCGGTCACTAAACAAAAGGGTCCCTTTCGCTGAGACAAAAGTTTCTCCACAGATTTCTCATATATGATTTCCAAATCAAAACTTGTATCATATCGGGGAAGTTGTGATGCATTTACTTTCCAACACAAGAATGAAAGGATCTTCTGGTTGTGAGCAAGATAGGAACTCTTTCAATTTGCTATGAGGTCAACTAAACTCAAAAAACTTGAGCTTAGAAGATGTTCTCAAATTACTATACGAACACGAAAACCACTTACTTCAGAGTGTGCAAATAAGCTAAACTACCCATGAGAAAAACACAAAAGAACTAAACATACCAAGTTACTTCAACCGACCGAGCAAAAGTTATTTATTTTTCATTCCCCAACATTCCAATCAACAATACGCACCATTTCAACCCAATTATCACCTTTGGTACATTCTTCAGGCATATCCGACAACTTGAAATCCCGAAGAGTGGTGATGCGCTTAAGTTCATCCGGAAGCTTCTTTAATTTTCTGCACGATCTAATCTCGAGCTCTTTAAGTTTCGGCATTGCTCCTACCTCTACACTCCATGTCCCCAGTTCCTCCATATTCCAGATTTTCAATACTCGAAGCTCGGGAAAACACCTTGAAGAGCAGGCCATGCACTTTCCCGTGTAGGAATTTGATAACTTAAGGAACCTTAGCTTGGGTAAACTCCCCAATGTCGGCATTGGATCTTCTTTGAGTCCGGATACTGACAAAATGAGACTTATTAGGTTTGGCGGGAAGGCATTCTGTTCCAATAATTTCTCTAAGCTCCCCAGCAAATAGAGGTCAGTGAGATCCTTATTGTTCTTAAAACTCAGAGTTGAGCAGAAAGGCCCAGTCTTACCCATTTCATTCTTGGATCTTAACCTCAAGGATTTAAGGAGATGCAGTTTCTCAATCCACCTGAGCAGTGCATCTTGTTGATGGACCGATAATTGGAAAACCAAACCCAATTTCGTAAGACAAGTAAACTTGTCCAGACCATCCTTCACAGGACTGTCCTTATCTACAAATAGTCCCCATAGCGATTGGAGATTCTTTACCGAGCGACTGCTAGGTTGATGATCAAACCTACCCAGACGACTCTCGTTCAAGTATAGATGTCGGAGTCCTCTCATCTTCCAAATCGAACTAGGGAAAGTGCTGATATAAGTGTGCTTTACATCTATCGTTTGAAGACATCTCAATTTGCCTACGGACTTTGGTATCGTGTCCAAGTAAGTCCATCTCAACCCAAGGTACCTCAACTTAACTAGTTCATCCAGTTCCTCTGGTAGCTTGGGCTTATATACGCGCTCTAGGTCAAGGATTAAAAGCGACTGAAAGCAGTTCTGAGCAATTCCCCTGAAAAGAAAGTTTCCTATCATCTCGCCGGGACCATCTCCTTTTCCAAAGTCGAACGAACAAAAAGATAGGAGATTTTTGTACGATTCCCAGGAAGGTTTCTTGTCAGCATAAATTTGGTCTAACTGCGTGTCATTGGGTTCACAATGATCAACAAATCGATACATTCGAGCAGTAGCTGAAGGCGTTGAGGCATTAACAAGGTTTACGCCAAGATTAGAATGAGCGCAATTTAGTAAGCGTTGTCTTAAAACGTTGGGCACACGAACCCTCTGAGCCCTCCCATCGGACCTCATCTTTACTACTATAACCAAATTCCGATTTATCAAGTCGTTTAAAAATTTCTCAGCAACTGTTTCAGGAGGTGTGTCGTCAATCTGCTTCACCAACTCCTCTGCAACCCACAACGAAATCAACCTCCTTGTTGGGATCTCGAAGTCTTGGGGGAAGAGAGCAAAATAATCGAGAAACTTTTTCAACCCTAACTCGTCGGGAGGAACTGGGTCCATGACATCTGACCATGGAGTTTTACTTTTATCTAACGATGAAGTAAGTTCACCGAGCAGCCTTTTTGCACTCCCAAGAACGTCTGAAACCGTGTTTCCTTTTGCGGTTGACAAAACCCCTTTGGAATTCAAAATTGTTAAAGGTAAACCATTGCTAATCTTCACAATTTTCTCTCCAAATTCCGCAACATCTGGATGGATGGATCCCCTATTTTGCGGGGCTGTTAAGATCTCCCAGCTCTCTTCATCACTTAGCAGCCGTAATTTGTGAATATAACCTTCAGGGTCAGCATGTTTAGCAACTTCTGGACATCCACTCGTGAGCAGTATTTTGCTCCCGTTCTTTGCTTCTGGAAATGCCTCTTTTAAAGCATCCCAGTCTTCTATGGCCTCTATGCCATCTAAGACTATCAGATACCTGTTCTCCTTCAAGAAATCGTGATGCCTCTGTTTCGATGTCTCTTCTTTGGCGACCCGTTGAAGCATGTACCGTAAAATCCCTCTCTTGTCATACTTCTGAGATGCACGGATCCAAACACGACAGGCAAAATGATCCGCGACGTCCTCGTGGTTGTAAAGTTGCTCAGCTAGAGTTGTCTTGCCTATGCCTCCACCACCAACAATAGAGATCACGTAGGGCTGGTCATTCCCATCGATGATCTTTTCCTTTATCCTAATTATATCTTGCTCCATCAACAGATAGGAAAGATTGTATCTTGTTTTGCGTTGGAGTGCATCTTCACCTTGAAAACCTTATGGATCCTAATTCGGATCTGTTTTACTTCCTTCAGATGATTAAAACGAAAGACAAGAAGCATAAGGCTCCCATTCCGTGTTGAACAGTTGGGACCTGTAATGGTACCATGGCTAGCTACTTGTTAAGAGAAATTGAGAGTCGACAAATTTTGTATTAATTTTATTATTTTTAAATTCAACTTAAGTGGATTTTAAATTAGTAAAAATCTATTTTATGTAACTACAAACGTAGTAGTCCATGACAGCTTCTTCTCTTTCCCTCATCCCTTTTAGATTTCTTTTGTTTTCCTTTTTGAATTTTTTATTTTTAAAATACCAATGGGTCTGGCTTGTCCAATTAGGAATTTCATAAGCCTAAATTTTGCTTATTAGTTTTGCCAAACGTTACTATTATTATTATTAGTTATATTTATTAATCTCTATAAGATAATCATGATTCCTCACTAGAATACATGTGAAGACTAGATCATAGAGTAAAAACATGACCACGGATATACACCGATAAAAGAAGAAGTTATCATACAAGCATGCAAGATATACAAAGACGCTCTCCATGCAACACATTGTAAGATACTAAGATCATAGAAGTGGTAGTTGTGGTCTACGCAGGCTAACAACTAGTCCCCACTCTACAATCTGACATGTGTACCCATCAAATCAACCTAGGCAACTAAGCAAATAACCCATTTAGGTGGAATATTTTATCTTCAGACCCAAGGCCACCTTACACCTTTTCCATTATGGCGGCCGGCGGTCATTATCTTCCGTTGGCTTATATGTTCCTCGGGTATCTGTACTGCACGACCAAATGGATCATATAGTCCATCAGATCATGGACGCGAGCCCCCTTTCTTTTTATGTTTCTATGTGAGTGCTTCCAATTGAGTGTCACTCCCTGTTGGTTGTTCCAATTGTCTATTAGTACGGCAACACTCGAGGGTGACAGTTGCGAGGATGTCTCGCTAGACATGTGTCATAGTGGCTCAACGCGAAGAGGGAGAAATGGTCTGGAGTCACCTTGATCAAATTGAAGTTTTCTTCGTTGGATAGTCTTGTTCCTCGTCCATATGCTCAGCTAGTCTACCACGCCATGCCTTTCTACATCGGAGTGAATGTTCCCGAGGGCGATGATCAGCAATGAGTAGTGGATGCCGATAATCCTTGTCGTTCAGTTTGCTCAGTTAATCTTGTGGCCTGGTGTGGTTGCCAATCTCAATCATGCCGGGGAGGCACAAGTTAAGCTGTATCGACCTGATCGTCTCCTCCGCCAATTTGGATATGATGGTATGGGTTCATAGTTTCTAAGGTCGGGAGGAAAGGATGTTTTTTGGCAACGCCATTACGGGCTGGTGTTTCCTAGTGTTACCCATTTCCCACTAGCTGGCTTCAAGCATGTGGAGGCTTGTAGTTCTGTTCACCTAGGCTATTTATGTGCTCTTCTTGGCGGGCTACACATGTTTATGGTGACCGAGCCTCATCCATGACATGTGATGCCACCTCCCACCCCCGCCGGGCCATGCAGCTGAACAAGGTGGGGAAACCCTTTCTGAGGTTAGTGGTCCCCATGTTGCGTCAGTAGCCCAAGTAGCTATGGAAAGGCAGTGTCCTCTAGGCGCTGACCGTAAGGGTAAGTGGCCTGCGGTTAATTAAGGAGGGGTAGAGCAGTTGCCCTCTATAAATAATAAACATAGGGCAGCGAGGGTTGCTCGTTCTTATTGGTTATCGATAGAGGGACGCCTCAGTGGTTCGACTGTAGTGTCAGACGAGAAAGCGCCCCAAGCTGAGGTACGGGATGTTACTAACAAAGATGTTGCAAGGGACCACTTGGGGATGTGAAAGAATAATCCTTGTGAAGAATCTTTTCATTATGCAAGGCACAACCATATATATACACATACAATCGATGCCTGAAATTTAGGAGCAGGAGACTCACTTGTAGTAGTAACCTACCTACTAACCATACCTAGTTAAAGACGCATAGGGAACTACCAGAATTTGCGCCTAGATACATGCTTATCCATGTTTATCCAGAATTTCCTAGTCCATGACGAATTCCAATACTCCCCATCAAATTGGCGCATGAAGATTCCGAATGCCCAATTTGCCAAGGAAATAGGTGAATTTCTCTTTCCCAAGAGCCTTCATCAAGATGTCAGCCAACTGCTCTATGGTTCGAACATGCCGAGTGACAATGTTCCCATGCCACAGCTCATCGCGAACAAAATGACAGTCGACTTCAATATGCTTTATCCTCTCATGAAACATTGGATTCGTGGCTATATGCAGGGCTGCCTGGTTGTCACAATATAAGCGCGCAGGTTCGTCATGCGCCACTCCCAAGGACAATAGGAGTTTCTTCATCCACTTCAATTCACAGCATGTCGCAGCCATCGAACGATATTCTGCTTCTGCCGAGGAGCGCGACACAGTGTGTTGTTTTTTCATTTTCCAGGAAACTGGTGACTGCCCCAGCAGAACGAAATAGCCAGTCAGCGATCGTCATGACAACGGACAGCTTGCCCAATCAGAGTCACAATAAGCATACAAGCGCAGATCGCTATCGGAACGCAATACTATACCTTGTCCAGAATATGCTTTCATATATCGCACTACACGTAGAGCTGCCTCCCAATGTTCTTGTCGCGGGCTATGCATGAATTGGGCCAGAATATGAACACAATAGCACAGCTCAGGTCGTGTGATGGTTAAGTATATCAACCTCCCTACTAGTCTTCGGTACTGATTCGGATTGTGCATTAGAGCACCCTTGGCCAGCGCAAGATGATGATTCTGTTCAATGGGCACTGACGCTGGTTTGGCTCCCAATAGTCCACATTCCGAGATAATGTCCAGGGCATACTTCCGTTGAGATAAATATATTCCATCAGGACCATGAGCTACTTCAATACCTAGGAAATATTTGAGTGGACCCAGATCTTTCATATGGAAGCATCGACTGAGATACTCTTTGAATTTCATAATGGCTACAGTATTATTTCCCCCAACAATCAAATCATCAACATATATCAGCACGTGCAGACGAACATTGTGTTTGAAATAAGTGAACAAAGAATAGTCAGGATACGATTGAACAAACACGAACTGTATCAAGGCCGCTATTAATTTCGAGAACCAGCATCTGGGAGCCTGACGTAATCCATAGAGAGATTTCTTCAGTTTGCATACTTTTGTTCGATCCTTAGATGCGAAGCCTAGCGGCAACTACATGTATACCTCCTCATCCAAATCCCCATGTAAGAATGCATTATGTACATCCATCTAATGCAACTCATAATTCTTAGCGGCTGCCACGGCTAAGAAAGTGCGGAATATCGTCATTTTGGCCAGAGGAGTGAAAGTTTCATTATAATCTAACCCCTCAACCTGTCTATTCCCGAGAATAACTAGCTGAGCCTTATGTCGTTCAACCGTCCCATATGAATTATATTTGATCTTATAAACCCATTTACTCCCTATTGCCTTTTTCCCGGGAGGTAGAGTTTCCAATGTCCAAGTACCATTATCCTCCAAAGCCTGGATTTCCTTCCTCATAGCTTCCCTCCATTTCTCACTTTTCATTGCCTCCGAAAAGATTGTGGGCTTGGCTCCTGCAGTGACTGCAGCTAAGAAAGCTTGATGTCTAGCAGAGAAGTTAGTACATGTCACATAATTCGCTATGGGATAGGGAGTCGTACCTAAGGACTCTGATTCAGAGTTGGCTTGAGTGTGAATGGGGTTTTTCAAACATTGAGAAGTGTAGGTCACGTAGGGCTTCAACAAAACAGACGGCGTGCGATGCCGATGTCCCCTACCAAGTTGCTCTTCTAGTGTCGTTTGTGGTGTTGGATCCACATTAATTCTGTCCTCACTGCCATTAATTCCCACTTCCTACACACTCTCTTCTTCTCCGTGCTCCTCCTCTCTTCCATCATCATTATTCTCAAGGCTCCCCCTATCACAGATGTTTGCTGCATCACTCCCCCTGTCTTTATTCCCTCTGTGGCTGTGTACAACATCATCATTGACTACGGCATCAACTGGTGCAATGCCCGGGCCAGGTTTGTCTCCCAGAGTGGCTTCTGAACTAGTGACATATGGAAATATATTTTCATAGAAGACTACATCACGGGAGACAAAATATTCACCTCTTTCAACATCATATACGCGTCAACCTTTCTTTCCATAGGGATAACACACAAAAACACACTTCCTACCCCTTTCTCCAAACTTATCCTTGTCTCGAGGACTCCAATGAGCATAGCAGAGACAGCCAAATACTCTCATGTGCTCGTATTGAGGTGGCATCCCGAATAGTACCTCATACAGAGTCTTCCCGCCAAGTACAGAAGAAGGTGTCCTGTTTATCAAGTATCCGGCGGTTAAGGCACACTCCCCCCAAAAACCAATGGACAAGCCTGCTTGAAATCTCAATGCTCTCACAACATTCAAGATATGCCYGTGTTTTCTCTCTACCCGACCGTTTTGTTGCGGTGTCCCAACGCACGAAGTTTGATGCAAAATGCCATGAGTCTCAAAGTATGATTTCAAGCTTTTAAATTCTGTTCCATTATCACTTCGAATAGTCTTGACTTGCTTGCCAAACTGACGTTCTGCCATGGCACAAAATTTCTCAATAATATGTGCTACTTCACTTTTGTCCAATAACAAGTAAACCCACACAGCACGAGAATAATCATCAACAATGGTTAGAAAGTAAAATGCACCACAAGAGGCAGGTACTTTATAGGCGCCCCATGTATCACAATGAATTGGAGAGAAACAATCATCAGCTTTATGTTTAGTTTCAGGAAAAATTTCCCGTGTTTGTTTTGCTCTGTAACAAACATCACATGGCTTATCTCCTTCAGTTCTACTATTTAATTTATCTACTTTAGGAAGAAAAGATAATATCTGTTTAGACAGATGCCCTAATGTGCGATGCCATAACTCCCATTCATCCATACCTCTTGTTCTATTCGCC